TTAATAGTTAATTGTCAACTTGACTGTATTAAGAGACTCCTACAGTGGTGACTGGATCATGGGAGTGTTATAATCTTCAATGATAATCTACTAATATTCACAGCTGAGTGTGCTGCCAGGAGGTTGAGGTCAGCGGGACGAGGACAGGTGAGCTTGGGGGCCTGCCTTCGGAAGGTACAGATCTCACTGATGCTCTTTCTCTGTGTCTGCTTTACAACCTCCATGAAGTGAGCAGCACTGCTCCACATGCCATTCTGACACAATTTTTTTTCTTTCTAAAACTAGATAAAAAATAAAATATAAACTATATGAAATACACATATAAGAAAATAACTAAAAAATAATGCTGTTTTTATAATACATTTTTAAAATTTATAATGTAGCTTAAATTAGAAAACAGTAAATAAGTTATAAAAATGTAGAAGCTGAAATCAATATGTTCATTCAGAAGATTGATTCCAATGACAAAAATAAGGCATGCAAGTCAATGTAAAATACTAAGCAAATACATATTAAGTAAAATAAAACAAAAAGCAAGACATTACTCACTAACAATGTAGAATTCAGTATTCAAAAAATATGCATTGAAGTCTTTCTTTCTTTTTTTTTCACCTTTAATTGAGTTTATTGGTACATTTTAGGGATACAGTACAATTACATTCATTGTTGGGATCTTGTACCTCTACATGACGGGTCTTGGTTCTCATTTTTTCCCCGTGTCCCTGCCCTCCCTTCACGTCCCCTCCCCTCCCCATCTACAAACACTTTATTTCCATCTTTTCATTATCTCACATTTTTTTCTTCTCCCTTATTACCCTTCCCCTATTCATCCCACCTTCCCTACACCTTCTTTAGAGAGAAGAAGGTAAATACTGAAATAATCAGCTCAAAAAGTGATTTTTTTTTTTGAGAAAAAGAATGCACTCATGGGTGAGGAGTCTGGGCTTCATTTGAAGGTCTGGGAACTGGTTTGGTCATAAAAACAAAATCATGAGAAGTAGTAAACTAGATGACTGCAAGCAGTAACAACAATGCTTCTGAAAAAGCCAATCCACATCCACTCATTTAATTTACAATTATTATACTATTATACTACAATTGTTATACTACTGCTCTGTGGCAGGCCAGGTGGTAACAGGTGATTATAGCCTGTAGTCTAATGAGATGGGCAAAACATAAACAAATATATACGTATGACCTAATATTGTAATAGAGATAACACAAGAAGTACTGTCAACTTTCAAAACACTTTAGAGTTGTACAGTCCAATATAACAACTGATAGGCATATGTGGCTACCTAAACTTAAATTTTTCAGAAGTAAACACAATTCCAAGTTCATTTCCTCTACAACACTAGCCAACTCTATTTCAAGGGCTCATGTTGAAAAGTCAAGTGTGGCTGATGTTACCATCCTGAACCATGGAGACAACATTCTTCTCATTGAAGAGAGTTATATCCTGGTGATTTTTTGCAGTGTATTCATTCATGTACAATAT